ATATTTTTATTATAAGTTCTTATGACAATTTCTGTTCGCAAACCGCTACAGATTAGTTTGTATGAAGGAAATCAGTTAGTTCCTTATGCATGATTTCTCGTAATGAACCGCTACTCGACGTAATTAAATTGCACGATGTATAATGATTGGCACATAGCTTTGACTGTGCGCAGTGAGTGATAAGCATGAAAGAGTTAAGGGTTTCTTAATACACAGAGGAAGCAAATCTAAATGAATGAATGACAGAATGAAAGCGAATTCAATGAAAGCAAGAGAAACGACATCGGTCGGTTGTTTCTGGAATTAAGTGAGGTGAATGCGACCGACCATTATGCTGTGCTTAGCATCAGCGATATTGCACATTTTAGTAATTAGACTACGAGAATGAGTGATTAAGCAGAGTTCTGAAAACGAACAATACCTTTACTTATGATATTCCTTTGCGACACTTCAATTGTGTCATTTCCATCAAAAACATCGAATAGCCTGCAACAACGAACCGATCGCTCGCAAACGATACACATATATGACTGAGAATATTGCTTCGTTCCTCTTCTCCAAACAAACAATTGATATTCACCGCAATGTGACTAGGACTGATTTATCAAAAGCTGAGTTTCTTTTGTTGAGTACCTTTTAGGAGAGTGCATTCAATTATCTATCAGAAGGAATTACGCTTTTGGCATTACGCTGAAACTTTTCAAGGTAACTTTGTTGTAACCATTTTCTTAGGAGTATTTTGCTGATTGTAGCTGTCAAAACATTTGATGAGCACAACAGTAGAATTGCATTGAACGTATCAAGTGAGGGATGATAATAAGAATTGAGGTGTGAAATGGGAAAGTTAATTTGTACGATTGGAAACAAGGAGAATGTGAGATGTATTCAATTGATATAAAACATACGATAATCGATTCAATAGAAGCCAGTTAGTGGAATAAGTGCCAGAAAGACAGACCGCCGCGTCTTATTGTTTTGACATGGCGAGGTGCTATCGAGAGAAAATACTTCTTCACATCATTTAAGCCCTAAATTGTTGCATACCGTTTCGTTCTTATCAGATCTACATTTATGATATAATCATCAAAACAAAACCATCTCTATCGTCGTTACAATATGCTCCCCAGGGGAACGATAAACACCACTCTGTTCAAATTCACTGTCAACGGACAATCTTCATTTTATGAATTCTCCTAATGAGGTTTCAAATGTGAATGTTTCATCCACTCCAGGGAAAGGATATCCAAACTACAGAAAACTTTTTGATCAGCCGCTCTTCTTTTCACGAATTCGTCATTCTTCGATTATCATAATGAATTTTTCATACTTGACTGCATTCGTTCCGTTCCATTGTGTGTGTCCTACGGAGTTGAATCAATGTTCTGCTGAAGGCTTCTTGAAGTTTATAAATTATGTTATATTGCTCAGTGAGGAAATCATTAACCAAACAAATCAATGATAAGAATAACAACAACAAATAACCAAGCGAATCGGTAAACAAATGACAGTCCACTGATAACTTCTAGCAACTGTTCACATTCACAAATAATGTCGTCAGTTTTCGTCGGAAAGTAATACGATATGCATTCCGTTGGGCAGTTTCAGCAAACAAACTCATTCCAGTGGATCTAATTGTTCTGTCATGAAAATTTTATCAATAAGTGACTGATTTTAGGAAAATTGAGCATTAAAGGAAAACTTCATTAACAAGAAAAAAAAANAAAAAAAAACGCCAAACGAAAAGCGCATAAATAATGTGATCTGTGAACCGTTAGGCACTAAACAGGAAATGCATTCGAGCGTATGTAATCAAGAGAATGGCTCGAAAAATATTTAAGATGGTTTTTAATAAAGATTGTTTCAAAAGAGTGGATCATATTTTGTTATCGCTTCATTCATGACCGCAATGAATGCACAACGCCAATGAGTAATCGCATAAAAATTCTTAATGAAGCACTCGTAATCTATATTGTACATTCGAACAACGTAGGTGCAACATTGTTATTCGATGAGATATAACGCCTTCGAATGCATTGATAAGTCTTAAAATGATAAAATTCTATAGTTGATAATATCATTTACAGTTATTAACAAACACAGCAATTCGTCACTTTTGACTGTGTTTCAAACGGAAGTGGTTAAGTCGATACTGAATCGTTAAATAGTGAAAACAAGAATTGAATATACACTTACATTCAACAGCAATAAGAATGAATACTTTCAAGCAAATTCTTCTTGTTGCATGAAATATTGTTAATTGTTGCCAATATAAGTAAGTGCTTGCTTATGCAAATATCCATGAATTTTCCAGCTAAGACTTACAGGAAAGGCATGCTATGTAAAGCTAAATTGATAGCGAATTGTATTTGGCGCTGCAATGAGAATTGAGAGAGAGAGAGAGCAGGAAAGCGATTAATAAATCCTACAAAAGTGATTATTATAGTTAGAATGTTGTGGACAGAAATGTATTCATATTTTGTCGTTAAAGCTATTAAATACATACACAAANTGTTTTGTTACATAAAACCTTATGCAATTCACAAGTTTTATGTGATAACACATCATAACGAATGCATACTCTATTAGCGATTACACTTTTGTTTCTATGTGATGAGAATATAGCAGAAATGAACGACAATAAAAATAAGGGTCATATACAATTCACAACTATAATTACAGCAATTGTGACTCTTAAGTGCCGTATTGCAACTCATCAATAAAAGCACTCATTTACGTCTGATATAATGCTATAATTGCTATACTAAACAAACAATTGTTATGTTCAATTTCTGAGGGAGCTAGATTATGTTTTTGGATGATTGAGAGGATATGCTTAACTGAAGAACATCAAAGTCACCGAAATTCGAATACGATCATAGGGCATATGTAGAACAGACTTAATAGCGAATTATGTAGAGACGTACTGAATAGTAGTGCTCTTTGCTGCAAGATTTCTGCTGAACAGGATGAAATGCTTTGAAGAGAAACGACGAGCAGTGTTTTGTGGAGGAGGCGAATGCTTTGAAAGTGATCACTGATTGAGGTGTGATTTGCCGAATTGTGCGCATTGATAGTCACAAACAGTATTCGTGCGTTTTGTTGAACAAGAGCCATTTGAGTGTTCCATTCCGATTTGCTTCATTCGCTTCTTTGGAACAATTCAGTAACAATACTCATCGATAATGACGCTCGATTTTTCAAGCTGAAACGAACATTTACAAAAATTGCGAAACAGTAGTGGTGTACCCTAGCCGGGAGGGGGGGGGGCGCAGAGGTTGCTCCCTGAAAGATGGGAGGAAAAAGAAAATCAAGGAAATAGAAGGAAACGTGGGAAGGAGGGGGAAAAAAAGAATTTGGAAAAAGGAGGAAAAGAGGAGAGGGAGGGGGAGGGGAGAAGGACGAAAAATTAAATGGAGAAAAATCCACCCAAAAATTCAGCTACTTTTTCAATCAAGCCATTTAGCAACGCCCCCTCCAGGAAAAAACCTTGGCTACACCTCTGCTACAGTATATTAATAAATTTTGAAATGTGAGGGATCTNTAAATTTTAAACCGTACTATTGCAAATCACTTATCCAATATCAACAACTTTTTAAAACAAATGTTGCTCATGCAATGAACAATGTTGAGTTTTAATGAACTTACGACGTATATTTACGTTTGCATTGGATTATTGCAGATAAAATTTCGTATACAAATGCTTTCGCATTTTTGTTTTAATTCCAACGGGTTAACGTGATGTCGGCGACACGTTTTTACAGCACTTGCGTAGTTGGTTTTTAATTGAAAAATCAAACGTCATTATCGTTTGCAAAAGTGATAGTGTTGGTGACAAGATTGAGAATAACGCTCATAAGAGTGCCATTTAAGCAAAACGAACACTACTGAGCAAATGAATTGTTTATAAAACAACCAATCAACAAAGTCTATAACAACCATTATATACAAATAATTGCAATAATTTTTTCACAATAACAACTTTAATAACGAAACAACACTCAAAAATATCAAAACCAAAAGGTCCAAAAGGATTTGATAAAAGGAATGCAATCTATCAATTAGCACAACAACTAATTACTAATTGCAACTAATGTAATTTGCAGCAAACAGTGTTTAAACAAAACGTTCCTGAGAAAAATACTGCTAACTTAAAAAAAATAAGATGACTTAAACAATTATCAAAAACAAATGATCGAAACCGAATTAGATACTCACTGCACTGATGTCGATTCAAACGGACGATCCGGCCAGAATGAGGTAATACAAGAATAAATAAAGGAAAATGGAACAAGTTGAATGTGAACTGTGCAATTAAGGTTTCATAAAACATGCATCCGAACTCAACATGTCGAGATCACAAATCAAAAAAGTTATAAGAAATGATAATAGATACACAATGATAAAATATTAAACGCTGATCCATATGGAACGCTTCNCTTCCACAATAAAATTCACTTGATTTGCAAAGAAAATCTCGAACATCAATCGCGTTTAATTTTGAATTTCGCTAGTTTTCAAAAGGCTCTTGCTATAATTCAAAGTTTGGAATGTAACTGATTAAGAAGTCTCACCGGTCAAGCAAAATATTCACATCATCAAAGTTACATCAACAGCTCATCGAGTTGCACTAACATCATCAATTAGTAACAAGAAATTCCAAACATTACAATGAGAGTTTGCATTGCCATTCCTGATAAAGAGAATTTGGGATGGAGAACTACGGAAAACGACGTTGATTTGAACTGATTCAATTGAACATACGAGAGATATATTCCGTCTTACGCAACAATCACATTTCATTGAATGCAAGTATAACGACTTAAACAATTTAAACGTCTAGTCAGCTTCATTTACGCATTATTCAAAAAAATGGAATGAAGCTAATAATCACATAAAACAGTTTGATGGATAAACATATCTCATAATGGAATAAATCAAATTCCACTTAGTTTGGTGCAATCGAAAGTGAACCACAAAAGGCCATAAGAATAATGACTGCGTCAAACAATAGCAAACTGCGCATATACAATATCACGAATTTTATAGTAATCCTCACAAGCACACCCCTCAATATGGAATCTGCCGGCTTCATTACGTCGTATACTTGCCACATTATTGATGTACAGCACACCAGAACTGAATTCCGCGTGGTAGCCATTCGACATCAGCAACTGCTTCATATCAGACAATTTCGGATCGTTCACAAACACTGCCTGCAATTGAGGATAATAAATTTGAGTCTATGAAAGCCAAATTATCAATGAACAAAAATGAAGAGATTATAATTACAGAACTCATTACCTCAGCGCTATTCAACNACGATGAGACTGGCAAAATATTGAAGAAGGACGAAAAAAATAGAAGGATGAAGTAGAGCAAGTGACCTGATGAGATGGTAACTTAGTGCTTAGCATCGGTTCCAAGCAAAATGTATCAGCAGAGGCAGCTTTTTTATTGCTCAAACGCTCAGCGTATTCAACAGAATCGTCAGTTTGTGCGCTTTCATCTTGGTGATCGTTGTTGTCGTCTTGCATCATTTCTGACTGTCCATCGAGCTGTTTCGGATCATTCTCATCGAGTACATTCGTCACTTTCCTTCGAGCTATCCGCGCATCTAACCAACTCAATTCAGCGTCTTTCACCTGAATCTAATCGCTTTGCTCACTAATGCATACCACAGAAATCATCTGATGCTACAGAAAAGCATGGAATACGAGAGCAGGAAAATAGGGAAAATCATACCGATTGGAAGATGAGAGATGACATTAGTGCGTCACTGAGTGTTACTTGATAAATATGTGATTCTATCGTTGCATCTACTATCTCACCCAATCGTGGTGTGAATATTTTACCCTAAAACAAAAGCTGTATCATGAATATAACAACACTAATTTTAACACAAACAATAACTATCACTGAAATAAAAGCATCATTACTATTACGAATGACAATATAACAAATGAGAATAACTACAGCAATGATTCCAACTTAAAGCTTTAACTTCAAACCCAGGCTTGGGTCAAGGACGAAATTGACCTCAGCGGTTCGTTCCCAAGGGTAGGAGATAAGTCGTTGGCCCGGGAAACCCTGTACATGTTCGGAGACTCCTGACCCGATCCTAATTCAAACCGACATAACCAGGAAACGAAAATATGTGCATCAAGGGTAATGACCGCTCAGATAAAAGAGAGAATAAAACAAATACCTATAAGAGAATAATAATATCACAACAATCACTACAATTACCTGAACAATACCGTTTTCAGAAGCATACTGTGCTAAGTGCCGAGTAGCACTCGAAGAGCCGTGTACTATGATTAATTGTTTCGGTTTAATTTGCGAAAGTATTTTCTTGACAGAATCGCCATCAGACCGACCCTCGAAATCGATGAATTCCACTTTGCACAACACCTTAAATCAAATCATCACTCACTATTATTATCAAACCACTGCGCATATCAGAGAATACTCAGCAACTCATATAGATGCTGAACGATGATATCAAATATGAATCTGATTTACAAACAAACCTCTATTTTAGTGATCTGACTGATACATTTCGTTGGCCATTCTCGTTCTTCATAATGCGGTACTGTTTGTCCATTTTCAGATGCGGGTGATTCAGGCGTGTTCGTATCAGCAGTTCTTTCGGCTGGTAGATGCGGCACTGTCGCTGTGTTGTCAGCTATCATGTACTCTTCAGGTCTGATTATTTCACCGTAATCATCCCACTATAACACAAACAACACTACTCACCTAATGAAACTTCGTCAATATTCTTCATTCATATCAATTCACTATCAGTGTATAATTCAGGTGAATCATTAAGTTAATAGAACGAATAAGCCTAACCCTCGTCTTCTCCTCAACATACGGAAATACAGGGAATGCTTTCTTGCTTTGCTTGAAAAACGATGACTTCTGCTGTTGCTCCCACTTCCACATAATGTCATGCGATCGTTGTTCGGCTAACTGTGATGCAGTCAAATGATGACCGCAACCTAGAACAACAATGAAACAATGAAGCACTTACAATACATAAATAACGCAAATTTGATACCATTGAAAGGTGTGCTAGTATCGTTGGTGTTGGGCAAAGATGCGTGTCTTGCTGTGATGTTAACTGATTTCGCGGTATTGCCACCGGCAGCATTCATCAACGCATTCGCTGTTACTGCCAGCATCGTATCATCATTATCACTGTCGTCTGAGGACGAATCCGCTTGCTCTAAACGCGCATTACGACGGGACGCTTCCAGTCTGAACGCCTCCACTTATTACTTTCACTATTATTCAACTTCGAAACGAACACAAACAACACAAAAATACGATTCCGCGACGCTATCGTTCATGTAAATCAAAAGAAAACGAAAACTCGTCATCCATAAACAATTCAATCTCAATAAAACAAATACTTATTTCGATGAATTCGTGAATGAAACCGAACTGAAAAACCTTTTACGTGCTGCTTCACGTTCCTCTTCCCTCTTTTTTGAACGATAATTTTCTAATTCATTTCCTTCGAGTCGAATCCTTCGTTTTACTTCCAATGTTAAAATGCGATTCATCGCAGACGGTTTTTCAGCCATCTGTTCGGCCATTCGAATCAATTTCGATCCAAGTGTGCGATCACCAGATCGACCTTAACTCTCATCTTTTGATCATAACAACTATGTAGTGAATCTCGAAAATATATTAATTTTAAAAAACGATAACCACGATGAGGAATACTTTTAATCCATCGAACTTTTGAAAATGATTCGAGAATTTGATCAACAACATAAAGTCAGCTCTAATTTCTAACGTTCAAATAAAAATCAAAACGGAATTATCGGAGAATAGGAAACTGAATAGAAAATACCCGTGACGATAACTGTGTTTCTTATATCCGAGCACCACTCTAAAAAAATCTCACGAGAGAATCCGCATTCCATATCCAAACCACTCACCAAAACCACCTTAATCAAAACATTATTCATAATGAAGATATCACACAACAAAATCGATTATTCTGTTGCATAATAAATTTTGCGCTGCTAACATAATAAATGAACGAACTGCAAACTAATCAGATGATATCATTCCAATACTCCTAAAAATGTCATCTAAAAACATTTAAATGGCAAACGTGTGGATGCAACTTATTGCGCGAGGGATGAATGCTTTTTGATAGTTTGTAAGTGATCATTTTATTCAACTGGATTTTGAAACAGCAATTGAATTTGTGATGAGATACGATGATAAATATTCACAGTTTACCTTCGGACTGCGAACGCGCATTAAATCAAAACTTGAATGGCACAGCTGAACGTGACGAAACTGAAACGGATTGTAACGACCGCCCTCGAAGGATTTCAGAATCTTATCCGACATCCATTCCACCTGCGACTTCGCGAACTCGACTACAGATGATGCAACGTGACTTAACATCGCCAGATTGTAAGTCATCAGCCCTGCCTCCGCACTGCAATTCATTCCGAAATGATCATCTGCTTTGTCGTGTGACAGTACAACTATTCATATTATAAGTCTAAAATAGAGCACTTACTGAGTAGATCAGTAAAGAAATCTAAAAGTCTGCATACCTGAACTGAAATTAACAACCTATGCTCAAATTTAACATGCATTACACTTATGAGCGACGAGAAAGGGAAGGATGAAAAAGTGACTTATGCCAAAGTTGATCAAGAAGGTGTGCAATTTCAAGCACTCTTCCAGCGGTGTCAATCACGATCATAACATCACCACCGTCACGCACCGTTCCCAATAACTTCGTCACCAATTGCTCATCTCTTTGCTTACGCCTTGGCTGATTATATACTGCATTGAACGCATCCGTTATCATCAAATTCGGACGACCAATCCCTTCAATTTTCATTTCATTCGGATATTATCAACTCAGATTCTGCACTGAATAGTCCGAAGTATCAGAAAATGAGCGCAACCGAAATTGATATTTTAATACATCCTCAAACCACTGTCAAATAAATGAAACATATAAACAAGAATTACAAACGTTTTCACTGATAGCTTCTGTCTGTGACTGCAATACATGATAACGTTCAACTTATCTATATACAACTCAAGTCAACAGCTCAGAAAAGGACTAGAACTAAAGATTAATCCAATGACTAATTAAGAGTGAGCGAATCTAAAAAAAGTAAAACGATAATAAGAATGAATACAAACGAGTCACAACCTTCAAAACTACATCCATTGAGATGTCTTTCCTTTTTATGATTAAAATCGACAGCATAAACAATTTCTTCATCACCCATTTTTGTTATTCGCCATATTGCACCACCAATCATATGACCAGCTGGTAAGGGAGTTATTTGTAAGCCATTCGCACCTTTCAATAAGATCTGAAAGCGTCGCATTCCAACAACCGACAATATTCAGATAAGAATAACCAATAACTTATTTGTAAGCCAACTGAATAAACGGCTTAAATTGTCTATATAAACAGAACAAACTACTTTCGGAACTACTCCATACAAGCAATAAAAATGTCCTACAATTAGAGTAAGACTGCATTCGAACCGCCTCATCAAACTTGATCATCATTCATTTTCTGCACGAGGCATGAAATTAAGTGCGGCAGCTAACGTTACTGTGTGACAATAAACAATAAACGAACCGTTTGGCTATATTTGACTTGTTGCACCCGTTCAAAAGCACCATCAATATCATCCAAATTAAACAGTGTGAAATCCTCAACACTTGTATGACCATTCACCCAGTCATATAAAAACATTTGCCCCATCTTATATACTGGTACCTGAAATACCATAACATCTTTAATTGCTCTCTACTATAAAATATAATATGAGACAAACAAATCTGTAATCAACATGAATCCTAGCAGTAAGCGTCTTCTGTTATATACCACGAACTTTCAAATATTTTAATAACTTCTCACATATAACTGGTTGCAGATATCTTTGTAAAAATTCGCTATTATTATACATAAAAATTTCTGACGTCTTCTGTTTTGCCATACGACAAGGATACGTTCTGATCGTTAAAACTGATAATATGAATCGAGTCACAATCAAAAAGTAAAGCCTTTAAGAGTTAATCATTACTACCACTACACTCTCTCATGAAATTATCAATTTTATCAACTAGAAGTTAGCTCGTACATTTCAACTAAGAATGCAAATCGCATTAAGCAACTAACCGTAGCATAAACCGGGCAATTCAAACCACATTTGCGCACAAGGTAAGGTAAAGCACCAAGATGAAGAATATCAGCATAGGACAATAAAACAGCATTAATTCTTGGTATTCGACGCTTCACTGCTTCTATATAAGCCATATCGAAGCGTTCATCCCAACCACAATCCAACAAAAAAAACACTTCATCAACCTGAAATGAAAACAATCTTTGATTATTAATTTCCTCATAATCGTTTTGACTGTCGACACATTTTTTTTCTGAACACTAAAAATAGAAAGAAACCTGTAAGAGGTAGCACAATGGCCCATCGTCCTGCACTCCAGAAAGTGCCTCCAACTTGATGATAGAAGTCATGTATGCTGTGAAGTTACGACTGTCCAAATTGAACTAACAATAAATGATACTGAAACGAGAAAATATATTTAAATCTGAAATCATTCATCGAAACATTAAGCCTTATGTTACGCCGATACAAGTAGCAAACAGGTGAAGATAAAATGAGATTGTTTCATTATTCCGTC